CCTAATTCCCTTTAGGACATAGGCAAAAAAAGAGAGAGAGAGAAAGATTCGGTCTAAATTGAGATTTGATTCAAAACTACTGATTTAAAATTCAAAAAAAGAAAACTTCGCACTGCATCTTCAATCTGAATTGTTCTTCCTCAAACATACAGCGAGAAAAAGCACAAATCTAAGCACCACTCCAACCTGAGATTGAACATATACATGAAAAAATGTTGAAAAATCAATTGAGATCCAAATTTTTTTCTTTTTGAAGGTATCCCCATCAAACATATTTGCCGTAGCTGCGATACTCGAAGGCGCTCACTATATCAATGGATCGCCACAGAATACCTTGGTACCTGGGATTGTCGAACTGGCTCGTCAGGTACGTGATTTCAAGAAATGAAAGCGATTAAATGAAACTTTATCATAAGTTTCACTATAACCTATAAAACATTGTAGTGCGCAAATCAAATGACTTTTCGTCATAGCTTTCCCTAAGACAGACGATACTATTTAGTATACCTTACCCAGTGAGAATTTCGAGAGATTTCAGCACAACGTTTTTGTCGGAGGAGACGACTTCAAGTCTGGGCAAACAAAAATCAAATCTGCGTTAGTTGATTTCCTAGTCAGCAGCGGATTGAAGCCAGAATCGATCGTATCATACAATCATCTGGGGAACAATGATGGGAAGAACCTCAGCGAAGCGAGGCAGTTTAGATCCAAGGTAATTAATAAAAAAGCAAGATTTAAAGCCTGTTCTACGAAAGTATTTTTAGGAAATCTCCAAATCTTCCGTAGTCGACGACATGGTCCAAGCCAATAAGATCTTATACCCAGAGGCGAAAAACCCGGATCACTGTATTGTCATCAAATACGTACCATTTGTTGGTGATTCAAAAAGAGCAATGGACGAGTACATCTGCAGGTACGAAATGGCATCCAATCATCACATGAGCTACCGTATCCTATTTTCTTAGCATCTTCATGGGTGGTCGTCAGACTTTCGTCATTCACAACACTTGCGAAGACTCTCTGCTTGCATCTCCTCTCATCTATGATCTAGCTATTCTCACCGAGTTGGCTACACGAATACGTTATGCTGATGCTACAGATGGGCAGTTCCGCTCATTCCACGAGGTGCGTTTTAGCATAATGATGATAGAAAAGATTAGAGAAGTAAGGTAAGATTTGGGGAAATTTACCAGTTTCTGAATATGACATGGCTGATTTCCTAAGCTCATAAAAGAGAAGGCAAAATTTAGATACTCATCCGAGCTGGTGCCATATGCAGATGAAAAGGTTAATGAGAAAGCCAGAAAACGAAAAAGAAAAGAGTCAAGTCCGTCAGTGACTGACAAACTCTAATAAGCAAAAGCGCTACTAGTGATAAAAGTAATCGAAACATATGTAATTAAGCATTGCCTGACCCTTGCTTATCGTCTACTTGTTAAATCCACATTTCAGTGTTTTGCTCCATTTACCTTACTAACAACACGATTTCTTTTAAATGGTAAACTAAATGAGGTGATGCCAAAAATAGGTTTACCAAAGCACAAGAGAACGTTCAGATTAGGTGACCCAATTTCACGCGAATGTATCAATAAAGACTTTAATGAGAAAAAGGGACTAAAGCGCGCATTTGTTAGATTATTCTATCAGTCCCCTCTTATTAATATCTGAGTTTTCAGGTTCTCTCTATGTTATCGCTCCTACTCAAGGCTCCAGTGGTTCCAGCCGGTACTCCGGTGAGCAACGCCTTCATGAGACAATTCGCCTCGCTCACGAAACTTCTCACC